CCATTCTATGATTCTGTGAAATTCCATTACTGATTAGTTTTTTTTCTGCCTTCAGATCTTAAATACAGTAGCCTTCGTGAGGTATCTCTCTTGACTTTTTGGTTTTTTGCTTGCTAGGAAAAGGCCCCCAGCTTGACAGTAACTGGGTTTTTTCTTCTTAAACATGCCTGTGTACGTATGACACACTTTTTAAGGCAATTGTGTTTAACCTGGGATATTATCGAGATGTTTCTGGGGATCACCTTTCATAGCTAAGTAGAGGATGGTCACAGATCTCGTTCTCATCCAGCTACATCTGGTACATAATACCATAGAAGGGCTGTAGAAACTCATAGGGCTTTCAGCTGGTTTGTTCTTGGATCTCCTACCTCTTTTCTAACCATCTGACTGCAGAATTGGAGTGAAAATGTGTGTATAAATGGTGGGGCTGGCTTGGTTGTACACTCTGGCATTGCCCTGATCTCAGACTGTGACAAACCCTGACTGTACATTGGTATTGTCCCACTTCCCACCCTTTATTTCCTTTGGAGGATGGATTGTGCTCATGTACCTAAGCCACAAGGCTTAGTCTGGGCCATCAGATCATTAGAACTGGAGAGGCATCTGCCATGGCATCCTTGCAGTCCCACTCTTCTGAGGGTACACAGGAACAGAATAGTAAGCAGATGCTTACTATCCACAAAGAGAAATGTTTGTATGAGGTGGTGCGGTTTTAAACTGAGCTGATAGGACTTAAGGTCTCAAGTAGGCAGACATGCTACAGTCAGTGGTCAGTGATGTGTGAAAATAAAACCCTAGAGCTGAATTTGCAGAAATGATAGATCAAAAGAGAAGAAACAACCGAAGAAACTTGTGCTCCTGTAGGTGAGAGGCTGTTAAACTTCCCAAACAGTTTCTAAATGGACATATTCGGGAGTACATGAAGATAACTGAGGGAGCACTTGTGGAATGATGTGATAGAGGGTTACTCAAACGTTATAGCTATAGTGTTAGTTCTTCTTGCTCACTGTAGGTGAGCACTGACTGCAGCTTACTGGTTGGTGTCAAGTTAGAATCATGCTGGGACAAGAAGGAGGACTCTCACTGAGGAAAGATCCTGAAATGCAGGGTTCAAGTGCTCATCTAGACATCGAGTGTCACCTCAGACACTGTAACATATCCGGTACACCTGCCTGGGGCTGGCAGCTGTGATACAGGACCAGTAGGACACCTGTATCATTCCAGAGTAATAGCTGGAGGCTAGCAGTCATGTAAAAGACCTTAGGCCATCTAAAATGTCTCTAGGTGTCTGTTGAACGATCCAAATCCCACCTGAAATATCTTTCTAGTCACTTTGAGGGACAACTAGTTTCTGTAGAAAACTGAAAGCCCAGAGAAAAGATGTATGTGAAACACATGAAGTGAGATACAACTCGCTGTTAAAGTGATACAACTGAAGAACAAGACCCTGACACTCAAAAGACTTTGTCCATGTGTGAGAATATGAACAGTGCTCCTTACCAGATGTATACTGAATACCTTAACTTCTGCTGAGGAATGTATCAACTGGTTACCATGTATGAAATGGTTCAGATACTTCAGGAATATTAACTTACCTAGAGCATCAGGTCAAACTTGCATTTATTTTCATGTGAATGTACTACATTTCATTATTATTATCATCAGACCGTAACTCTTTGGCTGTGGAACAGCTCACTGTCCATCTGAAGGGAAAAGAAGAGGAAAGCTCTTGGGACGAGTGGTTTGGGGAGGTGGGGAGGGTTCTGGCTTCTTTAACCAAAATATGCACATCTTAAACTCTCTGCTTACCTGCCAGGTCAGTCGCTGAAGCACCTGTTATGCTCTACTCTGGAGTAATTGGGTTACACATGAGCGTTGTAATAGGGCTGTCTTAAAAATCCACGTCCTTGAAAATTTGGGAAATAAATGCGTGCAAGTCTCAAAGCAGGAACGGAAAGCCTGGTGCTTGACTGCAGGGGTAACTGTTTGTAGGCAGCATGTCATACGCTCCACTTCTGAAACCCAAAATTTCTAAGCACATCCCTCTGCAACAATTAACATATTAGTGACGCTGTTTGGCTTTGAACAACGTACTTTTTTTTTTTTTTTAACCTAAGGACACTTGTTATAAAAGTTGCACTTGAGAATACAGTGCTTCTCCTGCCTAAGCAAATCTCAGGCTGTCACTAAGGCTATTTGCATTAAATAAACATATTACACCATTCTTCCATTAAAAAGGAATTGCCAGGTATGCATATAAATGTAAACATGTTTAATTTTTATGTCAAAGTATCTGTCACAGCAGGCTCCAGAAAACCTTGCTTATTTTACATAAGCATTTTTTCCCCATCTCTCACTTGGCTATTAAACTAAATTTTACTTTTGCATCATCTTTATATCCTTTATTAAGCAGCGTAGGGTTTGCTCCTGTGTAAACAGGTCTGTTAGATAAAGGCAAAATAAATACTTCTGGATCACCCTAGGAAGTGGGAAAGGTCTGGCTTTGGCCCTGCTGTGCTACAGTGGCTTCTTCAGTATCTTAAACCAAAATATGAGTTCCTGAAGGAGGGAATAAGCCAAAATGTGTTGTATACAATGACACTTATTTCGTTGCAACCGACTTCACCCAAAAAGGTAGTTGAAAGGTTGCTGAGCTCTCTGTGATTCTGCCTTTATCTAGTTTCATAGGGGAGAGGAAGGAAGTCTTGTGCACCTTTTCTCCCTCTTGCATGCAACCAGAAATGGAGAAACTGCTGTAATCAGTTGAGAAAACTTATTACCCATAGAGTGAGCAAATGAAAAATGGTCTGTCTTCATTTTTATGAAGACAAAGGTGATTGGGTAGAGGTAGTGTGGAGGTTAGAGCGGGGGTTGTCCTTGCCGCGCCAGAGTTCCAGTCCAGCCAGCTTCTTTTAGGGGGAAATAAAATCTTACTAAGCGAATGCTCCTAAGTACAAAACAGTGACCTTGATGTTTCATGTCTGCAAAGCAGTGAGTGGCACATACCAAGGTGACGCTGAAGGAAGGGACAGGCAGTCAAAGAAACAGGGTGGAAATTCTAGGCAGCATTTCCGCTGGAAGAGTGACTATAAACTTGTGCTGTCACATGGAGTTGCAAAGTGGAAAGTGGAGGTTAGTGTAAGCCCACATACAGAATTGTCACTAGAAAAACCTTAAGTGTCAGGGTTGTAGGGTGGCTGCAGGTCCTTCCCTCCTTCCTAATCATACCAGAACTTTAACGGCTTTTTCTTTCCGTAAATTGAAAGCCTTGAATGGAGTAGGGAATTCCCTGGTGCCCACCTGTCAGTGACAGGTTAGAATTAGTCAGGGCATATAGCTGAAACCTTCACCTGCCCTCTGGGGAAGGTCAGTCTTGAAAGCTGTTGGAGGATGAGGGGGAAGACAAGTCCGTGTCTCGACGGTTGAAAACGTGCTCCATCTGGAAGCCCCACAAACGCGCAACTTTCACAAACCACGAGTGGCAGGTGTTTTGTATTGGAGTTAAGGAGGAAATTAGACAGTTGAGGTTGTAAAGCTCAAAAAAACAAACCCCAAGCAGCTCTGAAGTGAAAGTACCACCTACACAATGGCCTAGGAAAAGCTGGGTATCTAACAGGAACGTAATTGAAATGGACTTCGTAAGTATTTAAACCACCTCAAAGGATTATTGCAGTTTCTGAATTTCGTGTTGGCATCTGACAAGGTGACATTGTGTAAGAAATGTATTGTAAAACACTGCTGTACTGTAGGAAAATGATTGAACGTAAATATTTCAAGATGTGGACCACTGTTCAAATGTTATCATAAATCTTTGCCATTGTTTTAGGGGATAATTCTTCATGCATATTTGAGTTGAATTGATAGAACCAGCCCCTGGAAGGGTAATCTGCTTGTTATTGCCTTACCACCACTAATAGTTTAATTTTGACTTTTCAGGTATTCACCTTCACCTGTACATTATATGTGATTTTTTTTTCATAACTAACAGAGAAAAGTTCTGACTTTTGTTTTCAAATTAACAGTGTTTAATAGCTTCGCTCTGTCTTGAGAAGAGCACGCAAAGCACCACGAGAGCATTTTTTTTTCCATCTTACTATTTTCTTTCTTTTTCACTTCTTGCAGGTTTGGTAGGTTTACAGTAGCTGCTCTCCAGTCCAAAGTAGAACAAAGTGAACGTGAAATGAACCGCCTAAAAAAGGCACTGGAAAGAAGCGATAAATACATAGAAGAAATGGAGTGTCAGCTTTTACAGCTGAAAAACGCAGGCGAAGGAGCCCAGACAGCGAGTGCTGTTAGTGAGGGAGCGTTTTCCACAGATGCTAAAGGAGCTGAGAGCGGTGAAGATACGACGTGTTTGAAAACGCAGGTTGAGGAGAAAAAAGCTTTGACTACCAATCAAAGTCCTGACAGTCTTGAGCAGCTGACAAGTGGTGGGTCTTGTTTAAGCTCTTCTAGTCAAGATGATTCAAATGGCTCAAATACCCAGTGTGCCCCAAAGAAAGAACTGTTTGCAGGCTGTCGCGGGGTTCTCCTGGATGAAAATACTACAAGTATGGATGCATGCTTAGAAGAGCAGTGGAATAAAATTGAGGAATGTACCCCATATAAGGATGAAGAACTTTATGATCTTCCACCGCCGTGCACTCCTTTTCTATCTCTCAGTCGCCTTCAGTTGAACACGCCTGACGGAAAAGAAACTGTGAGGAAACCATCAGCATTCCTGAGAAAACTGAAATTTGAGGAGTTTTGTGACGCTTCAGATGACTGCAGCAAAGATTCTTCAGAACACAGCACAAGTAGCTGTAATAGCGAAAAGAAACTAAACTGTTTTACTACAGGAAAACCAGGGTTTTGGGGGACCTGCCCAACAAATTTTGCTGAGAACTTAGATTTTGGTGAATCGGAGCAAAATTCAGTAGCTGGTCAGTCAGATGAGACGTCAGCAAAGTCCAGTGATAAAACAAACGTTTGCTTACCCAAAAGGTTACATACTCTCTGCTCTTCTGAAATGAATCGCACAAGAACCTCCAGTGAGGCATCTATGGATGCTGCCTACCTCGACAAAATTTCCGAGTTGGACTCGATGATGTCCGAATCGGACAACAGCAAGAGCCCGTGCTATAATTTCAAGTCCTCCGATCTTGATAACTCTTCCAAGCCAACAGGGTGCCCTAAGCTTCTGAATGACCCTGAGAAGAAACTGGAAGAGATGAATGAGGAACAGAGTATGAAGTGTCCAGAGACAAGCGAGCTAGCCGCTGACAGAACTGGCTGGAAACCTGCGATGTTTTCCATCCTGTCCCCATCCGAGCTAAATATGAATGACCACTTTCCCCTGTTTACAGGCCAAAATGTAGTGGGTAGCGATAGCAAACCCCCAAACTGTTTATTTCAAAGAGACTTTTCGCAGAGTTTGTTATTCAGTAACTCACAAAGGTTGTTTGAGGAACAAAAGTTCGGTTCCTGCTTTTTAAAGACGTCATCTGACCCGCACAATCAGATCAATCCTCCTTGGGTGTCTTCCTTCGTAGCTGAAAAGAAGAATAAAAATGTCGGTCAGTCGACCAAGAGGAAAATTCAGAGCAGCCTTTCCAGTGCTAGTCCGTCGAAAACCACCAAAAACTGACTCTGCTCGGAAATCGAACATGACTCAAAGCCGTCAGCCTGCAAATGTTTAATATTTACAGGTGAACTTAATTTTTAATGACTTCCATGCCATCTGATCTCTGTCTTTTTTAGACTATGTGAAAATTGAACGCACCCTCGCCCATTACAAGCTCTTTTCTAAGGAAGAACCGTTCCAGATTCTCTTCTTTGACTGGGCATTTTGTTTACTTGGGGGTTTGGGGTTTTTGGGGTGGGGTTTTTTGGGGGTTTTTTTAAGTTTTCGGGTTACGTGACCTTCCAGTTGTGAGTGCAGCTAACGGCTGCCTTGAACAGGGCAGTTTGAAGTGGCTTGCCAAATCAGTCATTTCTGTAAGAATTTGTTTTAAAGGTTACATTTCCCATTCCTAAAGATTACGTTTGGTGTGTGTAAGGCAGCTGCTGGCTATATATCCTATGAATTCATGAAATTGCTATAAAACAATGTCAGTTTTGCCATAAAACTTGCCTCTCGGAGGAAATGTTGCTGCTTGGACTGTTTCGTAGCACGGTACTGTACAGAAACTCTTTGTTTTAAGTGGGTGTAAGGTAGCAGCCTCTTTCTGTTCAGGGTTCCAGCACCTCAGTTAGAAAACATCTCCACTTTAACACTGCGAAGATGGCTTGTATTTTTTGAATTTAAGCACAATTTTTAATTTAGTTTCCAAAAAAGCATTCTTAACGCTGAATGTGTTTAGTATGCCGGTGTAGACCATAAAAATGGGTTTGTATGCTAATGACTTGTTTACCTAATGTGCACTGAACATTTTACATTAATACTGTACCATTTTACATTAATACTGCATGCTTTTCTATGTGAATTGAATAAAACATGTCATAAGCACTGTAATCCTTGATGTCGCCCCGGATATTGAATTAGCAAAAAGAGAGTGGGGGAAACTTTTTTGCGTAATTTGGAAAATATCTAAGTCTTGCAAAGCATAAACTTGAGCTTATTCACGCACACGCACAGATCAAAGCTCCCTTCCTCCTCCTCGTTAGACGTATTGCCATTCCAGTGTCAGCGTCGATACTGTTGATGGAAATGGCTTTCGGCCTCTCCAGAGGTGACTCTTCCATGAAGTATTGCATAGGTCAACATAATGCGATGGCCTACTACAGGCAGGAGACCTAATTAAGCAGCAGAACAAAATTGGTTTCTTTGCATTATTGTGTTTTAAGGGGTTTTTTTAAGGGCATATTTAATTGTAAGATGCAGGTTTTTCTTTTCTGTATAGGGCTCTGATGGTGTTTCTTACAAACAGACATCCTCGCCTCATCGATACCGATGATATGAAAAATCCATACGCTGCCTTTCATCCCTTTTGAAAAGAGGGATAGCCACTTGGAAAATTCTAGTCAACTGGCTCATGTTCTGTAAGTTAAGCCCTGGAAGCGGTTTGAACGAGAACCACGTTTCACGTTGCAGCGCGCGCACGCGTTCCTGCAGTCGCTGCGTTCATCCTAAACCAGGACTTCCGTGTTTTGGAGAAACGGCTTTACCCAAAAACCGTTATTCAAGCTGTACATCCAGGGACCCTTTTCCTGAGGGCAGGCAGAGTGACCATCACGCCTTCATAGACTGCTTTCAGTATACCACCTGAATTGTAATCTTCACAGAAAAACATCGGCATGCAATTTTAACATATTTTTCAGAAATTAGGGAGCTGTCAAAACCATCTGGACGTGAGCTGCTACTTGATTTGACTAGTTTTACTAATAAGTCAAAAAATGCTGCCTTGATTTAACCCTTTGAAAGAAGAGACAAGGGCTTCTCAAATACACCTGGAATACTTGCTTAAAACATCCTTGTATTGCAAAGCAGTCGCAAATACGCAGTAAATGAGGGTTAAGGCCATCGTTTTGGGGTTTTGTTTCATTGTGGGTTGGAAAGGGTGCATTTATGGGATTCATCTTGTACTCCAGTATGCTTCTGATACACAGGTTGTCGGAAACGTGAATACAACTGGTATCATGCCTGAAGTCAAACTAGAATAAAGGAAAATGTTTGTGGGGTTGAGGGTGGGGTTTTTATGCTACTTTCTAGTCCTTTGGGCAGGAATACTGCTTATGGGCTTGCTCTTCATTGTGGATAGTTTGACTTTACATGTCATGCAACTTGAATGGAGAGAAGAGCCTAAAGTTACAAAATGCTGAAGGTCCTGGGTATAAACTTCATACGGTTGGAGCGAGTCCAGAGGACGCCATAAAGATGCTCAGAGGGCTGGAGCACCTCTGCTATGGGGACCGGCTGAGAGAGTTGGGCTTGTTCAGCCTGGAGAAGAGGAGGCTCCGGGGAGACCTTATTGCAGGCTTCCAGTACCTGAAGGGGCTACAAGGAAGCTGGGGGGGACTTTTTACAAGGGCCTGTAGTGACAGGACAAGGGGTAATGGGTTTGAATTGAAAGCGGGGAGGTTTAGATTAGATATCAGGAAGAAGTTCTTCACAGAGAGGGTGGTGAGGCACTGGAACAGGTTGCCCAGAGAAGCTGTGGATGCCCCATCCCTGGGAGTGTTCAAGGCCAGGCTGGATGAGGCTTTGAGCAACCTGGTCTAGAGGAAGGTGTCCCTGCCCATGGCAGGGGGGTTGGAACTAGATGATCTTTAAGGTCCCTTCCAACCCAAACTATTCTACGATTCTATGATTCTACACCTCATCCTCAAGCAGAGACAGCAGGTGGAGCATTTCAGGCCAAGTAGTGGCTTTTCACTTGGAATGGTCGGGCGATGTAAATTGTCACCTACAGCCTCCTCCCAGCTCCAGGCTGGTAACTTCCAACATTATGGCAAGAAAGTTGGTGTAGTTATCCATAATTACTTGATTTCCCATCTCTCTCGTACCCTCAGATCTCAGCTGCAGAGGCAGTGAGCAGATGGTGAATTCATCCAATGCTATATATGAGATCATTTTACTTTTCACAACTGAAACAGGTCTGAATTCTTGCATCTCAGTCTGGTTTTGTTTGGCTGGGGTTTGGTTTGGTTTCAGTGGTGTTTTTATTCGGGAGGGGGGAGGGGCAGAGGTTTGTTTTGTTTGTTTTTTATTGAGGGCCTTTGAAACAACTGCCACACTAACTTCCACCTTTTTTTTGGTTGGTGTAGATTGTATTTCTTCTGGCTTGAAGTTTGACAGGGTGAGCGGTGCAGTATCAACTTACAGATCTCAGCTTTATGTAATGACTGGGGTTCCTTCAATAAATTTGTTGCCCATACGTGGAGTTTCAATTCTCCAGGCTGCATTCTGTCAATACTGTGCTTGCTTAAGCTCTTGCTGCGCTTAGCATGCTCTCCGAATAAAAAGGCCTAAACGAGAGTTCATTGCTGTTAATTTTTTACTAGCTACGTCGTTAGTCATGTAGGACTGGAACACACAAGATGTAAAACTTAACTATTACAATTTTGATCGAGACAATAGATGTTTCACAGTGATGCAGAGATGAGATCTCTGATGTCTAATGATATTAAATAGCTCATAAAATTTTTACTTCGTTTAATAATACTGCACTAAACACCAGGCGAGTTGCAGGTTTTGACACAGGAGAACCCTCTCCAGGAGCATTGGTAGCACAGGAGGGTGAGTTTGCTAACAGCCTCTGTTCGTGGCCAGGGAAATCTGTTGAGTTATACCTCAAAGCAAGAACACCAGAGCCAGGTTTTCACTGAGTTGTAGGCAATTTTACCTACACAGCGTCTGGCAAGTAACCTGCTTCTCTATCAGTCCCTGAAAGCCTCATGAGAGGCTTTGTGTTGCTTCCTCAGGTGAAAGGCTGCTGGAGCAGCTCTGCCTACCAGCACCAGATACTGATCTGGGCCATGTTCGGGTTTGAATGTGGTTTATTGTCTCTTTTTAAAGTATCTTCACAAAGGCAGCAAGGGAGGCCATGCATCGCTTGTTTACAAGGCACAGGGTGTGCTAACTTGCGTCTCCCTTCTTCATTTTCCAATTGGTTCCCTCACCAAATAATGTCATTTAAAGGCATTTTAAACCAGCTAGGTCTGATCCTAATTCTTATACAGCATCAAAGTCCTGCCTCTGACTCCCATGAGCCATAGGCTTGAGAAACACACCTCTTTACACACCTTTCCTGTGCTGCAGTTCGGGTTTCACAAACTGTGAAGATTTGCTCCTTCTATGCTCCAAACTAGGAATGTTCCTTCATTGCCGCTTTTGGCATGTGGATAGACCGAGGCTTCTCCCTTCCCTCCCACGTCTGGGTGAGAGGACAAGCAGCTCCCAGGTAACTTTAAGTGGGGGTTCACAGTTATTCCAAGGGTTGCCCACCATCAGAGGTGATAACCAGTTCCCTCTGGCTATGAATCCTTTGCGGCTTGGTCCCTCACCGCAGTCCTGACCGCTCTGTCGAGCCACCACCTTCTCAAGCCTGGCCTAAAGGGGTGTCCTGTCTGTCCTGCCTCCGTGGCCCAACGCTGAGCTATTGCCTCGCTGTCCCTTCGCCCCTAACTGGGAAAAACATCCTTAGCGGAAGGACAGAGGGGAAAGCACAGGTAGCCTGCGCACGCTTTGGCAGTTGTGACTGCAGTGGGATCTAGCAGGGAAGGATGAAAGGGGGCTGAAAACCACAGGAAGTTTAGTATTCCTGACTTTTTTTCAGCTTTTCTCGGTAGAAAGCGTGGTCTCCTCTCCAGCGCTCTTAGGGGCCGTGTGGGTGCTGCCCGCTGGTTCTCAGGGAAGTGTCAACATCCATTGGGCGGCTGCAACTGGCACCTGATGCCAGGCCAGATGCCGGATGCTTCAAGCCGGCAGAACGTTCCGGGGGAGCCCAGGGACCGGTCCCTGTCCCTTTCCCGGGTCACTCTCCCCTTGAAGCACATCTTGGGGGCTGGGAGAAGCGGGGACCGGCCGCAGGGCTGAGCCGCTCGGCGCCCGCTTCCCGGCGGTCCCGACCTCACTGAAACCGGCGCCCGTGATGTCCCGCTTAGACCTGACTTTAAATCTGGGGAGGTGGAGGGCAGAGACGCGTT